TGGGAAGTATAAATAGTTCTCTAATCTCTTCACCTCCTCTTAGTTCAGAAATATAAAACTCTTCATCCCATAACCCATTTCTTAACAGTAGGCAATTCAAGTAAGTACTGTCTTCTTCAATCCAGTTACTAACAAAAGATCCAAACAAAGCTCTAAAATGTTAACATTAATTAACACATATAAAGTTCAACATTCCACATTCCACATCTCACCTATGACTTTTAAATGGGATTTTGTTATAGTTAGGGTTAAAAGGGTCATAAAATGGTACCAATATCCACCCAGAATAACAACACATCCCATTTTATCCTTGATCAAATAAACTGACTTTGTACGCTTTTTTTCTTCTATACAGGGCAGTCTTTCTCTGTAATCTAGTCATATGATTGTTAATCCTTGTTACAAACTTCTTTACCATTTTAAACAGTCTCTTCTGTAAATCCAACAAAGGGGAATTATTCCAATTGTTTTCTGGCATTATCATTTTTATTTCCTTCTTGATTTTTAGAACCTCATCCAGTTTTCTCTGTGTCTGGTGACAGATTCTTATTCAAAGTCTCTATATTTTCCTCAAGCAAATTTTGCTGCATATCTTGTTCTTTAATAACTTCATTTCAGAGCAAACTGTTCTCAACACAGACACAACATAGCTGACATTTCATGACACAAGTCTGTATGCAGCTCTTCAAAGATGTCTCTAAACGCCATTATAAATTGGTTAACTTATAACTCCAACCTCATAAAACAATTTTTCTTTTCCATGAGCATATTTTTATTTTTTTAAAAAAATAGTTTCAAAATCTTAATATTCAAAGTCCAGAACTCCAACGTTTTCTGAGCCCTTAAAACTTTCTGTAGCCAAAACCTATTCTTACTTTTTGTTGTTTTAGTTCTTAAAGATTATAAAAGTAGATCTTCATATTCTTATATTGAGGATTGAAAGCACTCACTCACCCAGTGTTCCCCCACAACCATAAGGAGAAACAGCTTGGGCAATCTCATGTCTCTCTCCTTAATCCAGAAAGGATCACAAGGAGCCAATCTGCTTTGGCTTCCTTGTAAAATGCTGCAAACGTCGGCTCCACTTATCAGCAGAGCTGTCTTCAGTCCGCCATCTTCCCTTGGAAGCCTCTAGTTTGAACATTACCTTTCAAATAATTTCCTTAGTGTAAGATCTAATGTCTTCACCAGAAATATCAGGGCTTGATCCCCTACTTCTGCATTCACAGTTATTTCTTTAATTTATATGGTCACCCGCTCACTAAACAACTTGGCCAGATAACATGGGTTAAAAACATAAAAAATACACATAAGATCAGCAAAAATACATATTCTATACGGTTTGGAAAGAACTATAAGGAACAAAGACTGGAATTACACTCCTCATCTACTATTAGACTATGGCCATCCACCTAGGAAAGAAGCACTAATCATATCAACAGCCACTGATAATACAGGAAGGTTTGATCAAGAACTGATTAGAGCTTAAAGCAGATGAACTTCAGACTGCTGGTTGTGGATGTGGTGCTAGAGAGCAAGTGAAGCTCAATCCTAGTTAGAGTGACTTTCCATAGGAATGTCTTACTTATTTGTTACTTTTGTCATTGTCTGGAAAAATATGCTGATGAAAAGATGAAGGTAAAGATGGAAACCAAAAAGCCTTTTCTGTCTTGGTTTAACTGGCCACAATGGAAAAAAAATCTGGTGAAACAGATATGAAGAAATTATAGAAGACTGTGATACCTTATAATATTGATAGTGTGTTGCATCCAAAAGATATAGAAAATACACATGAGAGAGATCTGTTCCAGTTAATGAAGAAATGGGTACTGGACTACACAAGCAACAAATGGCAGAAGAGAGGTCACAAATTTCCTACAGAAAACAAGTCAGGAAGCCTGCCACTATTAAGTAGTACATTTCTCTGCAAGATTGGAATGGGAAAGCACAGTACAGGTAGTTCTTGACTTATCATCACAATTGGGACTGGAATTTCCATCGCTAAGCGATGCAGTTGTAAAGTGTAATGTCACATAACTGCATTGCTTAACGATGGCAATCCCAGCATTCTCTGTTGCTGTTATTAAGTGAATTCCACTGGTTGTTAGCGAAGGACTCAACCCAATCCATTCTGGGCTTGATCCCCCTCAGTATTCTGTTTCAAGGTAGCAGACACAGTTGCCAAGGAGTAGAAGCGGATAACAGAAGACAAGTTGCAAACTGAAGACTTAGCAAAGTAAAGTACCGTTTGCAATCCAAGAAGCAAAAGAGTAGCCTAGTTATGTTGCCAGAAGTCACAAAGCCAAGCTGGGTAGTCAGCCACTCCAGAAGTCAGGAATTCAAGAACAGGATGCACCCAAAAGATGAGCTAGGTTTTCAAACAGTTGCTTTCCAACAGAGATTGAAGGCAAAAAGCATAAATCTCTCTGCTGGCAGCTGGCTGCAATTATTCAGGCCTCACCCTTTGCCTTGTGAGGAGCCTCCTTGATTGACGATGCTCTGCTCGCCTCTGCATGTGTCTGGATCTGGGGCTTGGGGGTTGTGCCTCGTCATCTGATTGCTCCAGCTGATCAGGAGATGCCTGTGGCTGATCAGCCTCAGATGCATCATGGCTTAATGATTCCTGAGACTGACATTCCACAGGCTCAGCTGCAGCAACATTGTCAGAATCAGATTCAGAGTCAGACTCTGAATTGTGGCTCATGACACTCAGTCCTGGGCCTCAGTAAGGTAAGGGACTGCTTCCAACTCCTCCCATCCACCTATCTCCCCCTTCATCTCAGCCCTTTTGGCCGCCCTGCACCCTGCCTTGGGGGGCAGCAAGGAGCTTCAGAACCACATGGCTCTGGGGCTGTTTGCCATGCTGAGGCTCAGGGGCTTCTTGACGTGCCATGGCTCTGTGGCTGCAAGAAGCCCCTGAGCCGCAGCTTAGCGTAAAGCCCTACATAGTGCAAAGCCCGGCCCTAGCCCGGCCCAGCAGCATGGCAGAAAGCCACAGCCAGCCCAGGAAGCTGTGCCACCCAGCACAGTCCAAGCTGCCATCGCCACCCTGCACTCTGAGACCCTTGCTGCCCTGTGCTCTGTTGCCCCAGCTGACTTTTGCCATCTTTTTGCTCAAGCTGCTGATCAGGCGTGCCCAGCCTGGCCCTTCGTGCAAAGAAGCTCCTTTATGCCATGCTGCTGGGCCAGGCTGGGGCTGGGTTTCATGCTGAGGCTCGGGGCTGCTGCTTGCAGCCCAGAGCAGTGGCATACCAAGAAGTCCCTTTGCGTAGCTTTGCCCCTGAGCCACAGCACAGTGTGAAGCCCAACCCCAGCCTGGTCCAGCAGTGCAGCGCAAAGCCACAGCTGCCACAGCCCAGGCCCAGCTGCAGTCATCCTCGCCATCCTGCACTCCAAGGCCGCTGCCACCTTGCACTCTGCTGCCTCAGCTGACCTTCGTCGTCTTGCTCTCGCTGCTGACAAGGTGCGCCCACCCTGGCCTTTCACAAGGCAGTTGCTAGCCACATGAGGCTGTCTTTCCCAGGTCTTGTGAGGAAACTACGTGCGCAACCTGGAGAAGAAAGCCTTGTGTGGCCAGCAGCTGCCTCACGAAGGGCCAGGCCAGGCATGCTTGGTTGGCAGGAGGAGCAAGAAGACAGTGAAGGTCAGCTGGAGAGGTGGTGCACAGGGCAGCAAAGGCCAAAAGGGCACAGATGGGGGCAGAGATAGGCGGGTGAGGGGACTTGAAGCACCCCTGCAGTTCTAAGTGCGGGCAGGATGCCAAGCACCTGAATTTTGATCATTTGACTGGGGGGTGGGCACTGACATGGCCATAACTTCAGGGACCGGTCATAAGTCCCTTTGTTCAGCACCGCTGTAACTTCGAACAGTTGCTGAACAAATGGTCAAGGACTACCTGTAATGAGATAAAGGTAGTATAGGCAGACCTAAAGTTGATGATAGTGCCAATATTTGCAGGACTGAGTGTAAAATTGGACTTGAGGAAATACCAATAAGCAGATTTTTGGGTGGAAATGCAACACCAGACTGTTGGCAAAGTCCATTTCAAAACAACAACAAAACAACAACAAAAACCCACCCAAGGTGAGCTGCCAAGGAACTATCACTGGAACACTGAAAACAGAACTGATGTTTGAACAAAAGCCCAGATTCTCGCTATAAAAGATGCTGTGGAATACGCAAGTCTCCTGCCAAAAACCTTAAATTTGGAAATCTATGCATGGGCTAGTGTGCATGAGCAGAATTCATATAAGTAAATCACAACACCCACAATGAAGAATAAGGTGATGCTGTGTTTCAAAATAAAGTTTTTCCTGAAGACTGAAAGTAGTGAGAATTATTTTCCCCATAGATTTAAAAGGGGAAAATACTCTAGAACAGTGTTTCTTAATTTTTTTCCTCTCATGACCCTTTCTACTTTTAAAAATTATGGAGGAATCTAAAACAGCTTTTGTCTGTATGGGTTATATTTATCAATATTTACCGAATTAAAAATTATGCATTCTTTGCTGTTACCTCTTCTCATGATTGTTTGATGAGATTTTAATATTGTATTATTTTCAACATAGGTTGGCAAATAAATTTGATTTTGCAGACCCCTGAGAAGTTCTTGATGGATCCCCAGGCGTCCTTGGACCACACTTGAAGATACACTGCTCTAGAAAACATTCTACTGCCCATAATTAAAATAATTTATAACTGCCTTATGTAAGTAGTGACAAAGAAAGCATTATAAAGTATGGGGTCTTCCATATGCTAATGTGCTACCTAAAACCTATTATAATATATATACCCAGTATAAGGATAGAATGATAATAAAATTGATTCTTAACAATGATTTGACAACAGTATAATTAATATAGAATGCTTAATAAATATGTCACTTAAGAGCACTTCCTAAATTTGAAACTTTCAAATAATTACATCATACATGTTTAATTATAATTCATTTTACGTAATTTATTTTTCAGAAAGTCTGTGTCTTTTATGAATTTTGAAACTTTAACTTATATGGAGAACAGTAAAAAATAAGTACTATTCAAAAAGGAAATATAACAGTATTATTACACAAGCCAAACTTTAAAGTTTCCATGAAGCACAAATGCAATATGCATTACAAAATAAAATCTTGACACTGTAACCAAGTTATCTTCCACTTTATTTCCTATTCCTATATTTTCCACATTATCTCTTGACATATTGCTATCATTAATAAAAACTGATATGGCAACATTTTGACTAGGCGAAGCATATGGATGTTCAAGTAGCATAATTAATGCATATCCAAAAATGTATGGGGTCTATCACAGAAATACCCATCTACAGCAAATTAAAATGAAGTATGTCATAAATTGTATTTTCATTTTAATTTGCTGTCAAACAACTGCAATTTTTTTAAAATAAACTTACCTCTCCATTATCATCCTTGCTATGTGAAATATCCATTATTCGATCAACTTCAACATAATCAGGATTAAAAAGTTCATCATCTATCTGTTCAAGGGCAAGCATGCATAAAGAGAACAAAAATTCAGTAAGACACTGTAATACAAAATGCATGTTTGGCAAACTATAACATTAACTGAAATGCAACAATCCAAAAAGATAGTTCCTCATGAGGGAATTGAACTTCTTAGATTTTGTCAACTGGGCTCTTAATTACTGTGTAAAACTTTTTATTGTGCAAGAATGTTTTTAAGACTATTTTAAATGAAGTGTAAAATTATGATCCACTAATGAGCAGCTTAAAAAGCTTATAGCATATGATACATTTAGCATTCTTGAAGATTGCAGCTTGCAGTACAGTTTGGAACTATGAAAACTAAATGCTGTTGAAATATACTTAAAGAAGTCATCTAATTACTATATAAACCAAATTCAGAAATCATTATTCCTGAAGAAATAAATTAGATACCCTCTTTGTTTCCTACTTTATCTTGCCAATGATTTTACTTCTGGTATGTTCTTAAATTTATGTGAGAACTGGCATATTACAGTGTGGAAATCAAATTATTGAAAATACATACTTTGGTTCCTCTTATGTGCTTATTGGTTTAAGCTAAAAGGCAAATTATTATTGAAATATACACAGAGCTTTCTGAATAATTGGAAAGTTCATGGACTTCCAGACACATTATTGTTATTATTAGATTGGCATATTCTGAAGGCAGAAATTACCATATCTTGCAAGTCAGTTTTTGACAGCCATTTGGTCATTGCCTGGTAGATCTCTGATATAGCAGCTATCTTTGGCCATTAACAGTTATTTCTAGATATCCCTTCCTTTGACTTTCTACCATGGAACCTGATGTTCTATAAAAGAGTCACAGGTGGTTTTGAGAAGAGAATGGAGAGTACAGATTCTCTTGATTCATGCCAAATCTGACCAATTAAGTCATAGCTTCTTTGTAATTGATTATACCAGGAAGTTGGAAATAAAATCTACCCAGAGAAACTATTTTGGATGACAAGTGGTGTTTTAAATTGGGCTGTCTCTAAAAAAATCAATCAGCTCACTGTACTTAATTTGCAGAGAAAAATGCATTATTTCATAGTGATTTAGGAATTAGTTATTTGGCCCTGTTAATGTGGATTAACTCTGTTCACTCTCACCTGCTGACCAAAAGGATGAATTTATGAAGCTGCCTATAAGCAGGAATCATGGACATCCCACTTTAAGAAAGCTAGTCAGGAATATCTAAGTCTCACACCTTTTTCAGACATAGAAAAATGCTGAAAAAAATCTAAAACATTTTGTACTATCTTTGGTCTAACAAGGGATTTGTAATAGTAACAACTAATTCCTAGGATAAATTGGGATAAAACAAAGTAAGAACATTAGAACTGCTTCAAGATCATGACAGCATAAATATGTCTCTACTAACTGTCTAGAAGGTGACCATACTCTCCAAAGGCTTCCACAATCATGAAACTACTACTCTCCTGGCAACAGAACATTCTGCTCATAATTTATGGAATGGTTTATAACAAAGGAGGCAGTTTATAAAAAATCCCAATCCCAAATTAAGGGTTTAACAGGAAATAATTGGCATTTTGAACACAGAAATTGAAGAAAAATTAAAGAAAATTGGTATAATTTAGTAAGAAAAAATCATCAGAAATTATTCCAGTTGTAGCATTCTGAACCAGCATGTAGCATGTGTTGCATGTGACTAAGTCGTGTGTTACACTGATCAGAACTGGTTTTTCTAGATTAAATTTCAGTTTGTCAAGTTCCAGATACCAATTCCATAGTCTACTGAGAACAGCATCCAAATAAATCTACATTGCTTATGAAATCTTTAGCTACTTATGGTCATACTTTGTTTTCAAGTATTGCCTGCAGCTGATATCCTTCTATTGGCAACAATTTTCTAAGCTCCCCACCAACTTGATTTATAAATGTATAGAACAGAGACAGCACTTGTAGTCCTACAAACCATCTTTACTAGAGATCATCACAATACACTTATTCTGTCAATCTTTCTAGAGGTTTCTATAGCTTTTGAGACAGAACTGTGAACAAAAATGCATTAATTCTTATATAATTCCATATTTCCTAGAGGGGAGCCTCCTGTAGATATTCTATCTTTTGGATCACAGTGTGCTGTTTTGTTCCTTCTTCTTCTGTTTCAGTGTAAATACTCAGTCCCAGTGACACTGTAAAGTGAGGGGATATTCAGTGTTAACCCATATGCTGATGAAATCAGATCTTCCCATTATTTCACCTAGATATGGCAGCCATAAAACTCAACATCTACTCACTAAATGAGCTTTCAATACTGAAATATGATTATCGGGAGTAATTTGGTGGGCAGCTCAGGATTCATACTAATGATAGTGACAAACAAACCATTATTTAGCCAGTTTGCCTAGAAGAACATCTGGGCTTGAAATATAATTAAATGTTACATGAAATAAAGGTTCAAAACTAAACTATCATGTTTTTTGCTCAGATTCCTTTGTTAACTTGGTTTGACATGAAGATGTAAATGACACATATTGCTCAGATCACTAGCTTACAGATTTCCTGTAAATTCATGTCTCGACTAGCTCTAGTTCACTTGAAACAGACTGGAGTGAAATTCAGAAATCCTCTGGAAAATGTGACAACATTGTGGGGAAGGGGGAATCATTACTTACGTTTATTTGTACATATATCTATAAAACTAGTTCCCAAGAATTATTCAAGCATTTTAAAACAACAAAAATACAGCAAAATCTAAAAATTGCAACAATACAAAAAGCCAACATGGTGAAGTACAGTCCAGAATCAGTCAATAAACCCAAGAGCTAAAATCATTAAAATGCTAAGGGAATTAAAACATCAATCCACTTCAGTAGACTGAGTGCCTAAATGTCTGTTTTCAAAATATTTAATAAAAAAATAATTTATCCAGCCTACATAGAGTATTATTAAAAAGGAACCTATAGGAGACCACCATCTTTACAATATCTTGGGCGTAATCTCTTCAAGTCATGTAAATATTCAGACATATAAGATCTAGAACTCCTCATGACTATTCCACTATGATAAGCTATTGCATTATGCACCTGCTTAAATTCTGAACAGTTTTCAAAAGAACCTACAGGTACAATGAATAGAAACGATTGGTCTTCACTTGATGGAGTTATCAGTGAACCTCAGACTTACTACATGATTTTATCTAATTAAAATAATAAAAAATATACCTCTGAAAGGAACTTATTTTGAGCCTGCTTTGCTTTAAATCTTTTAATCTTCTGTTGAATTCTCCTGTCTTTGTCCAGTACTTCCACAGATGCCCATTGACAGTGGAGGTAAGAGCTAAAAGAATGAAGAAAAATAATTACAGCACACACACTATTTATCAGCTTAATATTTATGCAAAACAATTACATTAATAAAATAATTGTCTTAAAACTAGTACATAAGCTGCACAGTTTTAAGGCATCATTGAATATTTTTGAAAAAGATGGCAATAAAATTTTAATTAAATGTAGAAGACAGGAGACTATGCTTTCTCCTTTACTAATATCTTCATTTCTGTAAATATTCAGAGAGAAAAAATGTTTTAAAACTTAAGTGGATATTGCCAGTAATAATCACTATGATTGGAGAAACAAAGGACGTAATTCATTAAAAAAAAAAAAATCCCTGGTATGCATGTGACAGTATAGCAGAATCTGAATTGCTTGCTTTTGGCTTAATGTTGTATTGAACTGACTTATGACTTAGCTTTATGTGTAATTCAGCTGTTACTTGTTCAATAAACCTAGGTCATAACAGTGACTGCTATTGAAGTTAATCTGATGTAAACATTTTAACAGAGTAAAAATGTTGCAAGTCTGGTTGATTTAAATCAGATATTGTACAACTACATATTCTTTACTACAACTTTTTGGACTGGGGAGCACATTTACAATTCTTAGAGTTGGTTGTGGGCAACTCAGAAATAGCTATGATAACTAAAAAACCTGAGTGTATTATAAAATTCAATTACAAAATAAGCAGCCTATATCTTCAAATGTGATGCCCTATTATAATTTGAAAGTGCAAAATGCTTTAAATTCATTTTTTTTAAAGTACAGTATATTATTTATAAACATCCATTTAATTAAAGATATTTAAGCCTGTTTAAACTGACTTACTTTCTGTTTGTTATTTGGTTTATTAGTTATTTTTTCCCGGATTTTCAAACTGATGTTTTAATTGTATTTTAATTGAATTCACTAGGTATTTTGCCTCATTAAAAATGTGGTACAAATATCTTAAATAATTAAAATTAGTGCTGTAGTTCTATTGTATCATTCAGTACTACAGGGAAAAGAAGGCATTTACATGATGTAACATCATGACAATGCACAACAGGATTTGACTGACTGACTGACTGACTGACATTGTCACTGAACCACCACACTCCTAAAGAGGCAAGAGAAAAAGTCAGTACCCAGGAAATCAATGATTCCTGCATTGTGACCTTATTCCATGTGACCACCATCTATTGGTACTGGGCAAGGAAATCTTTTAACTCAATCCAGCTCTAATTGTATTTAGTTATCCAAGACTCCAACACATGGATGGACGTTCATATGACTGGTTTAGAAAGGGAAGAACTGGCCTATTTTTTTTCAGCAGCAGAAATGTATTCTAGTCTTCATGCTGGCACTACTTTTTATGTACAACTTCAATTGTTTTAAAAAGGGGACATACATACAAACAGAAGTAAGCAGTTTGGGGGATTTAACGATTATCAACACCCCCACCCCTACCTAATTTTGGTTCTGTATTGGTCAGAAGAAAAGTATTGGCCATAAATTATAAACAAAGTAGAAATAAACTGGTTTCAAACTGTTAAAATACAGTAAGTGCTATGAGCAGTTGGTTACCAGAAGATGGACTCAATAGGACATGAAAGGGCTGACTCCACCTTTTTGAGCTAGAAGGCAAGACTTAAGGCTTCTTCCTGTCCTGTGCCCCCTCCCCATTTTCAGTCATATACTGATTTCATTTGAGTGTCATTCAAATCCTCCTTTATTGTGCAGCAGCAAACTAACAACTGGTAAAGTACATGGGAATTGAAGAACATATACTAATTAGGATAGTGCAGTAAATGAACTTGCATCTTGTCCTTTGGGCCACTTGGATACTCCTGAAATCTACCCTCCTTTCCTAAACAGGGTGGGACAGATGGGCCCAACTCACAATGACATAAAGTTACTTCGCAGTAAATCCAACTACCATTTTGGTCACTGGAAATGGAGCTGACAGGAAGAGCTATATTATAGCAATATTCTTCAGTGGGTTTGTGTAACAGTATATGGCACCCTATATGACCCTACATGACCCATATTGTGCACAAGTCTTGAATGGGGAAGCACAACCCCACCGAGAATCAGCAATGGAGTATCTCCAAATCTGGGGGGCCCAAACAGACACAACCATTCGGTCTTGTCAGGTTTGAGCCTGGGTCTGTTCCTCCCCATCCAGATCCGCACAGCCTCCAGGCACAGGGTCAGGACTTAGACTGCATCTCTAGACCAGGGGTTGAGATATTCAACTGAGTATCATCTGCATATTGATGATACATGACCCAAACCAGTGGATGACTTCATCGAGAGGTTTCCATATAGATGTTAAACAGAAAGGGAGAGAGTTTTAAGCCCTGCAGCACCTCACAAGTGAGGGACCATGGGTGAGATTTCTCCCCACCTGTCAGCACTGACTGAAACTGGCCACAGAGAAAGGAGGAGAACCACTATAACACAGTGTCTCCCACTCTAAACTCCCAAGCATGGTCCAAAATGTTATTATAGTCAAAGGTATCAAAAGCTGACAAAACCCCAGAGATGGATGCACCACCCCCATCCCAACTCTACCACAGGTCACCCACAAGCGCAACCACTAAGCCCTGGCCTGAAACCTAACTGAAATGGGTCCAAATAATCAGCTTCCTCAAGGATCCTCTGGAGCTGAAGCTTGACCATATTTTCCACCATCTTCCCTAAAAAGGGTAGGTTGGAAACTGGACAATAGTTGTCCAGGACTGTCCAGTCCAGTCCAGTCATGGCTTCTTGAGAAAGTCTGTTTCAAGACTAATGGAACCACTATCTCACTCAAAGAAGGTGACTTCATACATGGACCCAACCATAGGTCACCTCTTGGGCAGCTGTAACTATCCACAAGGGATCTAGATCTAATGAGGAGATGGCCAAGCTTACAGACTAGGGAACCCTGTTCCACTTCCACAGAATCAAACTCACTCCAAATAATCATAGAAGGCCATGCCCCAGGTACCCCAGCTGGAACTGACCAGAGTTCAACTTTGAGCAGATCTGAGAACTTTATCTGCCAAATGTTAATATTAATGTTATTTCTGTTATAAAGGTGCTAATGTCTACTCCACTTAAGTGGGGGAGGTTTCCGGGTGGCCTTTAGCCTGCTTCACTGAAGGTACGCTTGAAAGTGGTGCTGCTGCTCACCTCTTCCATGCTCTGGAGGTGTGTGTGGGTGCTTCCCTTGATGCTCCTTCCCCCATCTGCTGGGCCATTCTCCCAGCTGGCCATGGAGCCCTCTTAGTTGTAATCTTTTATTCTCAACTCCTAAGATGGAGTCAGTGGAAATCACTGCTTCCTCTAGAAAGCAGAACATAAGACTGAAAGGAGGGGTTACCTCTATGGACAGGAAGAAACCTTAAGATCCGCCTTCTAGCTAAACTTGAATACAACATGAACAATAAGTAACAAATTGTATAGCTGAACTCCTATTACACTATCATAATTTAAATGTCAATTTCTAAAATATCAATTTCACTGTAACTATAGCTGAAATTTACAGTTACAGTGACATCCTGCAGCAGGAAATAAACAATATTATATCTATTAAATATTTTCAGTCTGGATTTCTGTTGACATTTAGTTACTAGTCTCATGGTTAGATCATTCCAGCTCCACTCATTATTAAATAAAGTGTACAAAAATAAGACATTCTCGATACATCTAAATGTAAGTAGAGATATCCCATCAGGTCACAGATTCTAACATTCTGAACATTTAAAATTAATATTCTGTATTTCTACTCATAGGCAGAACATAATCTGTAACTGATTTGTAATTAACCTTTATATATTTGTAACTTTTATGATGGACAGCAGTGATTACATCATTTATGTTTTACATATTGGGGAACTGCTCAGAGAATGCTGAAGTTAGGGCTTGCTTACAAGTTTTTGTATTTTACATAGAATTCTTCTGATTCTGTTTCTTCTCCATTCTCCATCTATAAAAAGAGAGATCAGTGGTGTTAATTACAAACAACAGTGGTAAATATCACCTTAACCTTACAGTTAATACAAAGTATCACTCATAAACAGCATGCTTTTGAAATTTAACAACAATAAAAAAAAAGGATTTATGGTATATTTTTAAAGGAAAAACAGAGAGAGAGATGCAAAGACTTCCCTGAATTTACTTAAGCCATGAAAATTCTACTCATTACAATTTCCAACACATGAATCATTGTAACGCCTCCCTAACCACACACAGCTTCATTCACAACAACTTGACCCCAAAATGGCTTTCTGCCAAACCCACAGTGTTACAGAGAAGCCAAGTGTACCATTTTCTCAGGCAGCAGCCAATTAGCAACTGCACTCCTGAATGCCTTATGTATTATTCTTGGCTGGCTCTTGACAACTTTATATTGTGGTTTTGTGACTTGTTCAAGTAGTGTTTTAATATGGTTTATGGTTCCATAACATTAACACTGCTAAATAAGAATCCATATTAAGCTGGACTTTTAAAGCCTTATTGTTGTTTTAATGTATTATTTTATACAGTATTAGTTTTACTTGATAGTGCAATTACACTAAGCTTGACAAAATTTCTTGCATATCAAGTAGCTAAATTAAACAAATGCCAAAATGCTACTTTCATTGCTAAATTTTAGCCGAATCTTGTTAAGCAGGATGGAATATCATGCAGCCACAAAATCTTATTTTAGATTTTGATGCAACTTTAAATTACAATTCTGTGCTTGAAGAGTCTGGACACAACCCAGATGAGTAGGGTATCAGAATTCAGAATTTTCTAGGGCTAGCTTTTTAGTGGGAATTCCATTTTATAAGGAATTATGGGATGTTTCCACCTCTGTTTTAAAAACTGACAGTGTTTGAGACTAAATCAGATTCAATATGAAGCAGGGAAATGGCAGCATATCATGTGAATCCAAAAATTACCATTCAGGACCTTAGTCATATAACCATACAGGTTTTTCCATTGTCTCCATGATTCACTCTAATGGGGCAGTAACAAGTTGCAAACTTGGCAGAAGGAAGATGAGACAAGGTGGCCAATGAGAGGAATGATGTCTCAATGATGCTTCTGTGAGGAAGTGAAGTTGGGGTTGTTGTCTGTGCATGGAAAAAGTAGCTGTAGCCAGGCAGAAACACTTCTCACCTCATTTCCCTCCCTCAAACTTTACTCACAAGCATCCAAGCCAGGCATTCCAGCTGCCTGTGATAATTGAGCCACACCCTGGCATTTTCAAAAACTGCAGACATCCAGAGGCAGCCTCACCCCATCCAGGCTCTTAACTTACAAAAGCTAATGCTAAGACAGAGTGAGGAAGGTGCGTGTGTAAGAGGAAAGGTGATAAGCAAACAGCATACAGATGGGTACAGATGGGGAAGCGGAGGCGATGTCGTCTTAAGACTGGCAGCTATTAAAAGCAGACAAGAAGACTATCATACAACAGTCAGGACCACAAGTTATGGTGAGTAGCATAACCTGGTGAGAGTCATGCTTGGAGCTTTGCTGGGAGCTCAGCAGCAACTAGAAAAGGAACAATCACACTGAGGGAGCACCTCATCCCAACTAGTGCAAGAATGTTTGGAAAAAGGGAAAGGCTGTATGCTACTTTATAGACTTTGAGACTTTTGAATGAATTAAATATTAAAGGAGCATTAAAGACATATTTATATGGCAACATCACCTTGCAAGGCCTAGAAGGGTGGAGAGCAATACCCTGCTGCTGGGGAAGGTGTGTGTGCAATAAAGAGTTTTGTACAGATTTGCTACACTGTGGTGCGTCCAGTCCTTGGAAAGCAAAGAAACCTCATAGCTTCTTACCATGCCCAAAGACGAAGAGACTAATGCCAAATGAAAATGAAATACATGGTCATACTGCAGCTTTACAGAGATATAGGATGGAAACTCTACTGAGGAATCCTGAGGAATGGGTTCAGAAAAAATACCGAGAGACTATTTTGATGTGAAACTGAATTATCTCTTTAGGGAGAAAGGCCATATTTGAGTGAAATGTATCTTAACTTTACAAAAGCCTTCCTATATTTGGGGAGGCTATTCTTAAATTCAGCAGAGAGTTTATCCTTTGGCAGAAACTTGAGCAGAAACAAAGGCCAATGAACCATATACTTCTGGAACATAGTAGGCCATGCTACTCAAAAGATACATTAATAAGGAAGCGTCTAAAAAGTCCTGTAATTACAGACCAACCAAAAGGATTAATATCTGTGCAGGTCAAAACCGTTCATTTTGGAAAATTCAGAATCACTTCCATTAGAAGCTGTAGCACCATAATATTGTAGGCTTCTGGAAGCCCTATAGAATATTTTTGCAGGGTTCTGCAAGGGTCAGTGATTTCTCTGCTGTTTAACATCTGAAGCCACTTGGTGAGATCACCCACCACCATGGGATGAGATATCACCAGTATGTAGATGATACTCAGTTGTACATCTCTGACCATGGTGGGTTAAGTGATGCCATGACCGCCCTTTCTTGGTGCCTGGAGGCTATTGAGGTCTGGATGGGGAACAACAGGTTGAAGCTGAACCCTGGCAAGATGAAGCGGCTTTGGGCTCGGGGCTCTTTGGTCACAGGAGAATTACCATCTTTGGTTCTGGATGGGGTTGCACTGCCCCAGACAGACCCGGTATGTAATCTGAGGGTTCTCCTGGACTCGTGACTCCTGCTCGAGGAGCATGTGGCAGTCATGGCCAGGTGGGCCTTTGTGCAACTGCGAGTTGTGCACCAGTTATGCCCATTTCTGGACCAACATGCCCTTCTCACAGTCACCCACACCCTAGTCACCTCCTGTTTGGACTACTGTAATGTACTCTACATGGAGCTGCCCTTGAAGAGTATCCAGAAGTTTCAATAAATGTGGCGGCCTGCATGGTTTTGTGCAAGCTTAGATTTGCGCATGTGTCACCTCTTTTGCAGGAGCTGCATTGGTTGCCTATTTGCTTCTGGGTCCAATTTAAGGTGCTGGTTGTCACCTTTATTTATTTATTTATTTATTTATTTA